GACACTGCAAAGTACGCTCTGCGACATGGAGTTAAACACATGCTACAACCAGAGGATGCGAGAGTATGCAGCCTCGAGGACGTTGTCACGAAATTTGTTTTGGACGTAGAGCTGGTATATGCAAAGTTGTGTGTGAATGTTACACTGGCGTTTGAAGACGTAGTTTGTGTTCAGAAGCAAGTGGGCATCGCAAAATATCATGAGGCCCTTAACACTTTGTTGGTCTTGTTACGAAAGCATATTGACACATTAGAGGAAGTTCCCCACACTATCTTTCAAACCTTGTTGAATGAGGGCGGACCTGAACTGTCATCTCAAGCTTTAGACCTTTTAGAGGCGAAATATTTTGAAATAGCGTATATGGAATACTTGCACAAAGAGGATCTGCAAGGGCGTGTTCAAACTAAATTTGAATGTTCAGCTGGCGTAGCTTGTTTTGATGTTTCACCGCAGTTAGACTACATGGTGTGCGAATGTGAAGATAAAACGATACAGCTATGGTCGCTTTATACTGGCAAGCAGTTATGGAAACGAGATGTCAAGGTAACGAAAGGTTACTACCAATTCAGGGTTTATGAGTATGACTGTAGGGCAGCGAAGCGTTACTACTACTACGGAAGTGATGACGAAGATCTGTCATATCCTCTCAAGTCATACCGCTCAGTAGTGTTTCATCCCACAGAGAACCTTGTTTTACCAGGAATCCTCAGCCATGCCTATACGTTTGACGGGGACCTGAAACCACTTTTTCTTTCGAGCAAGTGCCGTTTCTACAATTGTTCAATTTCTGCAGACAAGTCCAAGATGCTAACTGATTGCACCAGCGATGCTAAATCCATTGTCATGTGGAGTCTGACAGATGGTTCAGAGATAAATCGTTTTACATGGAGTCACGATATAGTGTCATTTGCTTGGTCTCGCAATGGAAGACTGCTAGCAATGTCTGACCATTCTGGTTCGATAACTTTGGTTGACGTAATGGATGGTTATAGAACTCTAGCACAGACAACTATTCCAGAAGTATGCGAAATGATAAAGTTCTCCCCTGACTGCAGCTGCCTTTATTGCATGGATTGCTTTGTCAAATGTGATCTCTTTCGTTTAGACGTCAACATGGAAAATGACGGCAACTTTTCTTTAGATGTTTTGCCTCGGGAAGTGTGTTATCTCCCCTGGAAATTTGAATCGTGTAGTGAGACCGGATTTTTATTGGGAGATCGTTTTTACTTGGCATCTGAAAGAGATATCATCGACTCACCAAGACCTGGACTTGCTTTTGTGATGAATAAACAATCTGTATTGACAGTTGCTTCAAGCAGTACAGTCATAGAGATGTTGCAGCTCGATGAACTGACGAAGGACAGTGCCGGAGTTTCAGAGACTTCAGTTACGAAAGTCGTATTATCATTGAATGGTGACATGCTGTTTGTTATCACTACAATAGATGGCAGTCCAGGAACGCTTATGAGTTGGGACATTTCAAGTGGTATGTTCAAGCTAGGGAAAAGAGTTTTTGAAGACACTGGTGGGGTCTGTATAGATAATCTTGTAGCTGTAAGGGAAGGTGTTCTGTTGACAACCAGGTTTGACGCCCTTGAGCTGTGGAATTTTGAGTTGTCCGAGTGCATCCGAAGTTGGACTGACTTAGGGTCTATCTTTGGAGTAACCCCCATATCAGAAGAACGAGTGGTCTGTGAAACAGGGACAGTAGTTATCATTGTGGATACAACTAGGGAAGGCATTCTGTCAACAATTTCTATTTATGGGTTTTTTCTTGCATGTAACAGTAAATGTCATGTGATAACCGCTGATCGTGGGGAATTACAGATGCAAAGTGGAGACAAAGTACTCTGGAAGATGTCCCTGCCTTTCGAATGCATTGGTTTTCCTCTAGGGAATACATTTTCTCCTACTGAACAGTATTGCGTACTTCCTGGACTCGACGAATCTTCCTATGCCCTTTACGTCCTTGATGTAGTTTTAGGAAAAATACTTCGCACATTACAATCACGTACTCATGGCCAGTTTTTTCTAAAAAATCCGGATTGCAAGTTTGTCAGTTACGAGGAGTGCGTTGCATGGTTCAGTGATGGAAAAGGAGGTTATTTTCTCCGGCTGTTTAATGTCAAGTCAGGTGACATGCTAAGTGAAATTATTGTAGAAAGCCAAGTGCACATCTACAGTTTAGCAGCTTGTCCTCGTGAGCGTCTTATCGCCTTTGGCTTTGCAGATTCCAAAGTGAATTTTAAAGTTCTTCAGGTGAAGTTGCCGGGAGACACAGCAGGAAGAACAAAAGGTCAGGTTGTATTACTAAGTAACAAAGTTACAATACAACGACTTCAACTGAGCCACCTGAGAGATTTTAACCAATTACAGTACGATTTTCTAACAAAAGAACCTAAGTTGATCTCACCAATCATGTTCGAGTAGCGCGATTCTTAGCCCTTGGAACGGACGATTTTGATTGGCTGGTAACTGGGTTCAAATTTCGCTGACTTTAACAGCACCACGAGCGAGCGATAAAAATTATTTCAATTAAACCTAGCGCGTAGAAAACAATGCTTCATGGTCCAGCGACAAAATATGATAATTTTAAAGATATTTTTAACTTGAATGAAAAATTCGGTCCTATAAAGAAAACAATTTCGAACCCCGCGAAAAACAGCTAACGCCCTGAATCTTGGAACAAAAATAATTGAGTGCATGACAAGCGACAACTCAGAGTTTACGTCCTGAGTTCAAATTCTTTTTGTGGCTCATTTATCAAGTAGTTCAAATCAATGGCAACAGCAAACATTGACGCTGCTCCCACACAATTTGTCCAATCACCAACAAATTTGGATTCCTCTAGTTCAAACTCGTGCTGTGATTGGCTGGAAACTCTTTGGAAACCACAATTGAAGTCTCTACACTGTAAAAGCAACACACAGAGTTGAAATTGTTTAAAACGTTTATCAATACTAATATCAATGAAGTAAGCACGGATATCACGCTAAAACTTGTAATGGAAATGAAATTATGATATACGTGAAACTCGGTGAACAATAATACAACTTCGACCAGTTTGTCCCGAGCACGGGACAATGGGAAAAAAATGTAAGGTCCCCGCGGGATTCAAACCTATGACCTACCGTATACCAGTCGAGTGCTCTAACCACTGAGCTTCTGATAACCCCTGGTGAGTTCGGTCATTTTAGTATATTCCGTGAGGACATGATTCTTGCATTATAGGCAGGGCGCATGTCACTATAGCACCAAGAAACATGACCTAGCTCACCAGGAGTTGTGTGTAGCTCAGTGGTTAGAGGGTCCAACTGGCAGCGGGAAGACATAGGTTCGAATACTATCGGGGACTCGGAATTTTTTCCAATAAAACTTATAGCTTGTCTCTTGTTCATCAATTTCCTCTCAGTTTGTTGATTCTTTTGTCCTGTAACTCCTCCTCCCCCATCCCAGGCCTGTATGACTGAAATAAAAGAATATAAATATTTCTTCTTGATTCAGTTACATATTTCACTGGTAAATAACATGCACGTGTGGTCTTCCTACACAATAACAATGATCTGTGTGTTTGATTAGACTGGCCAGCTTATTGTACACCATGTTGTTTATGTGATCTCATATTTCAATTTTTCGTTTTCTTTTTTTCGTGTTTTGCGACAGGATCAAGTCTAAAGAGTGATAAGAGTCCACAGCAGCTAGTTGGAATTTCCAGACGAATCCGCTGACTGGATGATGTAGTAGTAAACTGATCGAGTACCAGCCATTTCAGCCAAGAAGAGGACAGACTTTGCAGTAGATCTGTAAATAGACTTATGGTGAAAATGTGATATTTTAGACTGCTGAGAGCCTCTTTATTAGTTAGAAGAACATGTAAGGTGCGCAGCACCTAAGAATCGTGATTGGGAGAAAACCGCTATACAGTCTAAATCTCGTGCGATTCTTCGGTTACGAGTTCTTTCTATGAACTTCTGTGGGAACTAAAAGGTTTCAAATTGCGTAAAGGAATCAATTTCATCACTTGCTAAAATACAATTGTAAAGAGTTTAGTTATATGTAAGTTTAAGTGTAAATAAGTTGCCGATCGTGGGCAGTGGTATGAAAACCAATTTCAAGCTACGAAGTTAAACTGAGGTAATTAAAAAATGCGATTACATTTACCACTTTAGAGAAATGACGGAAATTGGAGAAACTTGCAAGACAAGAGTGTACATGCTGTCAGTAAAAGAGAATAATCGTGACTAATTTTGAATCCAGTAGGAGTGTTTTTAATTTAATAAATTATTTTAGTTTCCCCGTGGCAATGGAATCGAGAATTTAGTTTTTCAATGTGCGTGAGTCAGTCTTGTAATGCTCAAGAAAACAAATGTTTTAGTTACGTTTGAGCAAATGCTGGGTTGAACCTCAAATGCATTGGAGAACAGCTTGACTTAATGAGACTAGCATTTTCAAAAGTATCGTGTGTTTTTTCAAACCTAGTTACTTTCTTATAA